AAGACCCCAGATGCTATATCTTTTGATAGCCAGGCACCATCAGCTATCTTCACCACATTTGCTTATTCGGATGGTCACTTTTTATAGGAGCGATAAGTCCTGTATTTCTCCCAAGGAGCAGCTGGTGGTTTCAAACTACCGACTTTGCAGTTAGCAGCCCTATGCATAACCACTACAGCAGCAGGAAGAATCCCTAAGGGAATTAGAGTGGGATACTGTATCCTTACTCAGGTCACAGAACCAATAGAGACACTCTAAATTTAGACTTCTTGCCCACCAAACAGTGAGAGAATAAATTTCTGTTTGTTAAAGACAGCCACACGTGGTTCCTCAGCCTACGTAACCAAGACAAATTACAAAGAGAAAGACTAGAGAGAGAGCTTGTCTTTAGGCAGGGGAGATCCTGGGCTACTCTTACGGTATTCTTTTTCATATCTGCATGTTCCTAGTATTTTACATTAGATATGCATTAGCTCGATCATTTTAAAATATAGAAACGTTAGGGGAAAGGAGGCTATATGAAGGATGAGTCTCACAAGATTAAATGCAAGAGGTTTCCACAAAACTAGTGCGGATGCAGCCAAGTAGAAGCAAAGTCAGGCATTGTTCTTGCCTGTGAGCCCCACATCAATTGCCTGGGCAGTGTGGGTGCCCGGGTCAGTGCCCACGTGGGTTTCATTGGGAGAGGCAGGGGACGGAGACCAAGATGGAGACAGACGCGCAGCCCCTCTGTTCCGTGCAGCACCCCCTGGGCTGGAGCCTGCCTCAGTGAGGATCAGGAATGCTGGTGTGTCCTTAGAAACTTCCATGTGTGAGGAATTGCTCAGGTACAGGAGGCAGTTGTTGAGGAGAGAGAGTGAGTAGCAGACCAACTGGTAAGTAATCAGACTTTTGAAGGGCTGATTTAGAGCGGTTTCCCATGGCCCAGGAGAGAACCAGGACTACAGGAGGTAGGATAGAGTGATTTCTGCTCCGTGTAATGTAAAAAACCCACCCAAGAGGCAAAGTGACTTATCAGGCACAGTGGTTATGCAGTGGGCCGCTCTAACTGCAGTCAGCAGTTGGAAACCACCAGCCCCTCCTTGGGAGAAAGAGGAGGCTGTCTACTCTGGTACAGAGTTACAGGCTTGGACTCCCACCGGGGCAATTTGACTCTGTCCTGTAGGATCGCTAGGAGTTAGAATTGATTCGATGGCAGTGAGTTTGTTTGTTTGTTTGTTTGTTTTTGGTGGGGGCAGGGGAGTCGCCCAGGTACACAGACGGCGTGCATGCAAAATCAGTCTCCAGGATGTGAAGACAGAAGGAAAGACATAAGGGGAAACAGGAGAGTAATAAAAACACAGAAAAATGGAGGCAGAGGGAGAAAGAAGGAAGAAGAAAGAAAAGGCAGAAAGCAGCAGTTTTGAGACCGCAGGTGAGTCCATGCGTCCAAACAGCGGAATCTGCTGTCTTTTTAAGTCTTCATCGGCAATATCCTGCATTACCAGCAGATGGCGGTGTTACCACAGGAAAAGAGGACCCTGTGGCCTTTTGTGGGGCGGGGGCGCTCCCCCCTTGCCCCTCCACAAAACTCAACTTTTCCTTTGAGTAAGGACGAACTCCAGACGTCTCTTGAGTTGCCTCGTCAGATTTGCAGATAAACATTGTACAGCAAATCCTGCCCATTTCCCATGGGCCTACTATATCCCTGATACTATGCCATGAGTTGGAATTTACTTGCCAAAAAGAGGTTTGGCTGGGTTACCAATCCGGAGGAAGGTACTATTGCTTTTTGCATTGTGGCTACTGGCTGCATGGTACCCCCCTCATCCTACCTCATCCCAGTTATGTGCAAATGCAGGTATACAGATATGATACAGGCATTTTCAAAATGGTCAAACAGTTCAACAACACAGGGGTGTGCTCCAATTCCCTTACCAGCCCCCTCAATCGCATCACTTTCCTTTCCCTGAGAGATTCCCTGTCACGTCGGAATTCTGGCTTTCATTCAGCAGGTGGTACTTCTCACTCTTCCATCTACATCCCTGCAAAGCAGCCAATTCTGAGAACTTTCTCAGACTTACACCACCAAGCTGTGTCTTAAAGGGGGGGTGGGGCCACCATGAGCCTAACAACCACCACAACCACAGTCATACAGTATCTAACACTGCTCCCCAAACCAGGCAGACGGACTCGACATTTCTAACCAGCTTTGGGTGATGTCAGCACAGGGGCCACAGAGACACCGCACGTGTTCTTCCATACGGAGGGGCCAGGGCACTTCTCTCAATGACAGTTGACTTTCGGTAGCCCTGCCACACTCACTCGTTCCCTGTGATTTAGCTGCTCGTGCTGTCGTTCAACTGCATGACGTTTCCAGAGACTCTCCTATGTGCAAATCCTTTGCTGGTTCCTGTCAATATCTGTGAGTTTCAGTCCCTCTGCTAGGTCCTGGGATTAGTACTGACTCAGACCCATTCCTGACCTGGGCATTCATTCATGTGATCTTTGCCAAGGTTCTACCATGTGCCAGGCACCATTCCAGGAGTTGGAGAGGCAGCCGTGCACAAGACAGGCATAAATCTTTTTATAGTTTAACCCCAGCTTTCTTCTTCTCGTGTTAGTCTTTGTTGTAACTCCAAGTAAATTTAGTGAGGGAGGGTCAGTAGGGAAGACAAATAGATCACTAAGCTCCCCTTCATCATCTTGCTTTCCCCTTCCTGAATACATCAATCTAAACGCCATTAAGTGGGGTCAAGCAAAGATAGGCTTCCACTCATTGGGGTAGGGAGGGGGTAGGAGGAGTCTGCATTGGTCAAGAAAAGCCAGGGTGGAGCCTGCCGAGTGGGACAGGGCAGCCCTGTGGGAGGATGGCTGGATAATGTGTCTGAGCCCCAGCTAAGTGAGAAGAGCACCGGGGCAGAAGTCACCTGGGCAGGGTTATCAGAGGTTGAGCAGCACAGAGAGAACTCTGTTGCTACTGGCCAGATCAGGATAATATGATCGTAATGCCTCAACATTCAGGGTGTGGGAACCTGAACGGACTAAGTTGGGCACAGATGTCAGCTAGTGGTGTTGGTGCTGACAGGAGATGATAACCTACAGGATCGATCAAATAAGTGCATATAGAACTAGGTTTCTCACCATCAGAGAAGGGCATCACAAGTATGAGGGGAAAGGAAATTTGAATGAACCCTTATGGTGTTGGATTGGAATCAGAGGCCAGGGTGAAATGTCTATTTCTCTATTTGCAGCATATAGATAGATCTAGAAATAAATATACTTGTAAGCATGCACACATACATCTATTTCCTATTTCGTCAACTAAGAGGGCTCAGGAGCTGTGACATCCAAAACACGGCATATTTAGCACACAGCTTTGTTTCTAAATACCGTTTCCCACCCCACCAGTAGGATTTCTTGAAGAAATGGCTGATTGCAGGGGTTGGGGCAGAGAAAGTACCAGGTGAGCTAGAACATTTTGTTGTGCCAGAAACTGAGGACATGCTCAAAAATTGATGGGGACATGACAAAAGGACACAAGAGCCAGCTGGCAGGGATTCCCCACGGGCCCAGTCTGGGACAGTTTCAACACAGAAATAAGTAACCAAAGCGGCAGATTCTAATCTACTTAATAAAATAGGAACCAACAAGTCCATACTGATATCACTGAAAATGTGATGAATGGGTTACTTACTTAGTCTCTAAGTACCTCCTACAAAATATTTATGACTTACAAAGGGAAAAAGAATAACTTCACAGTGGGGAAATCTAGTTGACACTACTTGAAGTGGCCTAATATTACAAACAGTGAAGCAAATTGAAATTATGTGCCACCTGATCCAACCTGTAACAATTTGGCAAAAAAAAAAAAAAGCATAATCTGAAACTAATCATTTGGAAACGTCAGACAAACCCAGATGGAATGACATTTTACAAATAATTGGCCTGTAGTCATTACAATAGTCAAAGAAAGACTAAGGGCTGTTTTAGATCATAAGAAACTAAAGAACTATGGCAACTAAGTACAACATGTGATTCTGCACAGGACCCTTTTGCTGTAAACAATTATTGGCTGAATGGTGCATTTAAATGGGGTGTGAGGCTTGTCTGGTGGCCTAGAAGGTTACTGGAGTTAGGCAGCTAACCACAGTCATCAGTGTGACCCCCCAGAGAAAAGAGTTACAGCTTGGGAAACCCAACAAGGCAGTTGTACTTGTCCTCTAGGGTCACTACGGGTGGACACCCACTCAATGACAGTGAATGAGCATTGAGAATGTATCTATGTGAATTGTCTGCTTTTGTTGACCGGCCTTGTATTTAAAGAATGTGATTGTCTATAGGAAGCGCTATACAGAGGTGATGGGTTGGCAACTTACTTTAAATTCCAAAAAGCTACTTATGCTTACGTTCAATGTTTTTGTGAGCTCACAATTCCCTGCCCAAATGTTCAGAGCATGCTCACCTGTGCCCCCGATGCTGCCCCCTAGGGTAGATCACAGGTGTGTACATGCTCTCCCAGATCCTGGAGGGCTGCTTGCAGATCTGGACAGAGCCTGGACTTCGGGCTGGGTGTCCATGTACGTGGATGGGAGCCCTTAGAAAGTGCGGTTTCCACCAGACGTCACATTTCGTCGGAACTCCGGTAGAATTCTATATTAGAACTTGGCCCTTTAGCTTTTAGGACGATATATTTGTCAAAGGTAGGAGAGAGAGATTATATTCTAGACAGACGGTGCTGAGTAGTTGATAATCCAACACGAAGCGTAGCCTGCAGCTGCAGAACTTTCAGGGGCGTAAGCCTTGATCCCCTGAAACCAGCGAAGTTAGCCACATTCTTTCGGAGGAAGACCACGCCTCTCACGCGAGGGGCGTGGCGACGCGCGGGGTGGGCGTGGCGGCGCGGCTCCGCGCTCAGCGGGAGCGTCCGGATGCGGAGGAAGCGCGGCTCCGCGCGCGGGGCGGTGCCTCGGGAAGCCCCTCCTCTTCCGGTGCGCTGCTCTGTTTTCCCCTCCCGCGTGTCAGTGCTCGCAGGTGGTGGTCAAGGCTGTCTCAGCTCCCGGTTTTGGTGGCTAGACAGGGCCGCGATGGCGGCGGAGGCGTTGCCAAGTGCGAGGTGGCTGTACTGTGGAGAGCCCGAGGAGAGCCCGAGAGCTGTACTGGGTAAAGACCGGAGCTTGGTCCTCGGGGGCTGGGTGTTCACGCGCGGGAATGGGAGCCCTTGGAAAGTGCTGGAATGGAGTTCCCAAACACCCTTCCGTCTCCCGCTCCCCGGCCAGGATCCCGTAGTCTACTACTTGAGCATCTCTGTCATCCAACACCATTTTTCTCACTGTCTCCCAGCTGGTGGAGAGCAACTCAGGCACTCCCTCCCAAGGACTGCCCCCTGATCCACCACGCCTCCCATCCATCCCCTTCCTCTTTCTCCCCTGGGTAGTGGACCCCTTTGTCTTTCTACATTGGGTCCTGGCCTCCTGTCACTTCTGTCCCCCCAGTCATTCCCTCCCGTCTCAGCGCCTCCCCAGGGCTTCCCTTAACCTGCCCATCCCTGCTCCCCAGGGCAGGACCTTCTTTGGTCCCTTAGAGCAGGACTTGGGCTCCTTTGTCCTCCCCTCTCCTGATGTCCCTCCCAACAACAACGCATTTTTTCTCCACATACACGTGGCCTCTTCTGTTCCCCTGACATCCTCGGCTGCAACCCCACAGTCCAGTTCTCCAACGGGAAGCTGCAGAATCCAGGCAACATGCGCTTTACCTTGTACAAGAGCACCGAATCCACCAACCCCAGGAAGCGCAGTCAGCGCATCGTGGTGAGTCTGCCCTTGCCAATTTTCTCCACTAGCTAGACCTCCGGAGCCCCCTCGGGTGTGGGTGGCTGTGGAGGACGTGAGAGGAGGAAAGGAGTGGGGGGAGGCGGCAGCAAATGGGCCTTTGAAGAACTCATCCAACATCACCTTCCAGCTGGTGTGGGGCCAGGCTCAGCCATCTGAGTGGTTAGTACTTTGGGGAGAGGGATGACTGCTTGTTCATTCGTTGGTTCAATCCACAAGCATTTAATTGAGCACCCACTGTGGCCCTGGGGACACTGACAGTCAGACTGGCGCACTCTGAGGGGCTCATACTCAGAGGGAGCACTCCTCATCTCAGCGCTGTTGACATGTTGGGCCTGATAGATATTCCTTTGATGTGGGCATGGCAGGATTAGCAGCATCCCTGGTCTCTACCCACTCGAGGCTGGTAGCATTTGCCCTCCCAACCCCAGTTGTGACGACCCAAAACCTCAAACATTGCCACATGCCCGGAGGTGGGTGTGGACAAAATTATCGTGAGTAGAGAGCCGCTGCTTCAGGGGCAGGTGAGAGACCCTCTTACAGATGGACAAGGCTCAGGGCAGAGTGAGCTCAGGTAGGGGAGAACACTCTACTAGCCAGAATGCCTTCTTGGAGGGGGGCCCATTGGAGGTGGGCCCTGAAGGACGGGAGAGGGGAGGCTTGCAGGTGAGGTTTGGAGTTCCAGGTGAAGAGGATAGCAAGGACAAATGCTTGCTGATTGGCGAGTGAATTCATCATTCCCCTGGACCTGAGAGGAGGCACAGAGAAGTGACCAAAATGGGCCAAGGAGTTTGGCCAAGGAGGTTGCCTGCAGAATCACATCGTTGTGTGCCTCCGTATGGAGAGGGCTTCAAAACACTTGTGGAAGAGCCCCATTATCGCCTTTTCCACAGACTTTCCTCCAGAGCATTTGTGAAAAAGCAAACAAACATTTTCTATGTACTTTTCCAAGCCCCTTCAGACATGTGTTGGGGAGCCCAGGGTCTTAACTCCAGGGTCTGTGGTGCAGCTCCCCCGTTCATCTTCAATACTAGTTAAGAGTCCAGCCGTTTCTGGGGCTTCCTTTGCAAACGTTCTGTTGCTTTCCTGCCAGGGGAACCCCAGATCCACTTAGAGTGGGCTGGGTCAAGTCCAGTGGCGCTTGGTTCACTTCCACGGTGGTTCTGTAGTCTAATGCTTTTCACATGCCGGAAAAGGAGACGAGATACTTAGTACCTTGAACCTGGGTTGTGAACAGAGCTTTCTCCCTTCTACCGTGTAGGTAGCTGACACAGACAGGCTTTCCTATGTGGGCAACAATTTTGGCACCGGAGCCCTGAAGTGCAACACCTTGTGCAGGTACCGATGTGGGTGGGGCACCTTGCAGGGTAATGGGGTGGGCAGAGACGGGCACCGCTGGCACTATCCATAGGCCTCGGTCTTTATCATAGGGACCATGAAAGGGATCTTGGGAAGTTTGCCAAATCGGGGTGCTCCTGCCAGCCTGTAGATATTTCTGAAAAGTAAGGATAACTTGTATTTGTTGACATCCTTAAACTTCCCGTTAATCTGTCGTGTTCTGTATACCGATGACCTTGATCCAAGAGGCAGCTGTCTGTGCATTTGGAATGTGTGGTTAAGAGATCAGAGCTTGCCCGAAGGATGCCTTGGAACTCACCACCGGGAAAGGGCTTGTGGGTGCTGACGGCTCTGGGCTGACCATGACCATGGGAGCTCAGGCTTTCCAGCCCCACCCCCACCCCCCACCCCACACCCTGTTCTCAATCTCTGTGCAGTGAAGAGGCTCCAGCCTAAATAAGTCATGTAATCCTCAGGAGCTGGTAGGATGTAGAGGGAGTCCCTGTGCTGGCACCCACAAACCAGGCCCCCCAACTTCTGATGAAGGCAACTTACCTCACACACATCTGCTTCAGAGTGGTGACCCCGCAGCCCCTCGCAGTTCGTCTGACTCAGGCTGGTCTTCTCCCTGAACTCCAGCTTACCCTCAAAGTTTATATGTGCATAGTTTTAGATTCTTAAACCTCACAAGGGTCTCCCACTCAACAGTGCGTCCACATGGTGTGGACTGCAGGAATCACAGGATGGCTTTTTTCTACTGTTTAACCACAAAGCCATAGCATATGCTGCCCCTTCCCACCCCACGCCGGACCTTGCTGCTGCCAGAGACCGTCACGATGGGGCAGAGATGCAGTCTTCAGGTGTGCGGGGCAGAAAGGCAGGTCCAGAAACCCAGCCCACTGTGTTAGTGACCCCCCCACGGTGATAGTGTACTGATAGTGTAGAGTGACCCTATCGGGGTCCCAAGGCTGCCCATCTACTGAAGCAGACACCCCCATCTTTCAAGGAGCAACTAGTAGGTTCAATCTGCCACCCTTTTGGTTGCAGCTGAGCGCTTCACAACTTTTTAGGAGCCACCAGGGCTCATAGAGAGGTTCCCAAAAACCAAGCCCATGGCCACCAAGTCGATTCCGACTCATAGCAACCCACTCCCCCGCGCCCCCCAGCGTTGCTAGGTTTGTGAGGCCGGAGATCTTTGCAGTAGCAGACAGCCTCATTTGCTGAGGAGCAGCTGGTGGGTTTGAACCGCCTGACCTCATGACCGGCAGCCCATCACTTCACCGGCAACACCAGAAGAACAAGTATAGGAAAAAGGGAGTTTGTAGTAAGCATCTTTGTTTTTTAAAATACTGTTTTGGGACTAACCCACTGTTGCTGGTATTCTTCCTCTTTTATTCAGGCACTTTGTGGGGATTTTGAACAAGACCTCTGGCCAAATGGAGGTCTACGATGCTGAGATGTTCAACATGCAGCCCCTGTTTTCAGGTGGGTCCCGCCCCAAATCCTCAACAAAGATCGTTCGCAGGGTCCTGGGTGTTCTAGGTACGTTGGCTTGGGTGTTTTTGTTTTCTTTCTAAAAACCTTTTGTGAAGTAGGAGCGACTTTACAGACCAGAGCAGTTTAACATTCAGCCGTTTCTACCGATTTTGTTTCAGCTCTTCCATGTCAATCCTCTCAAGGACCTTCGAAAGCACAATTAGTGCTTTTTAAAAGGAAGCCTTTCTGCAGGTTTTTAAAAACTTTTGAAGAAGTTTCACAGGTTGTTGTTGGTGGGGTTCATCAACTCATTGAGGACCTCCTGTAGGGGCGGCACCAAGTGAGCAGCTTTGGGGGTGCTCTCAGCAGGACAGCCACGAATCCTGTCTCTACCTGGTCTGCAGACTTGAGATAAAAAAGTGGAGCCTCGATGAGAGAAGGGTGTGAGAGAATGTCTGATCCCAAACTGGCTTTTAGTAAGCACTTTGTTCTCTACTGTTCCAGGTGGAGTAGATGGTTTTAGAATCTCTAGCACAGGGGTCTTCAAACTACAGCCTGCAGACCACATGCGGCCCACCAAGGACATTTATCCGGTCCGCCGGGTGTTTTTGCCACCACTGCCTGGCCTGCTTAGCAGCTGACTCGTCCAGTGTGCATAGGAATTTGTCCCCCAGAGAGGAGGTTATATGTAGATCCTTATAATCGGTTCCCCCGTTCTACACCACCAGTATCACCACTCACCACTGGTCCTGAAGGGATCATCCGTCCTGGATTCCTTGTGTTTCCAGTTCCTATCTGTACCAATATACATCCTCTGGTCTAGCCAGATTTGTAAGGTAGAATTGGGATCATGATAGTGGGTGGGGAGGAAGCATTTAGGAACTAGAGGAAAGTTGTATGTTTCATCATTGCTGCACTGCACCCTGACTGGCTCGTCTCCTCCCCCCGACCCTTCTGTAAGGGGATGCCCAGTGACCTACAGGTGGGCTTTGGGTCCCTACTCTGTACTCCCCATCATTCACAATGATATGATTTTTTGGTTCTTTGATGCCTGATACCTCATCTCTTCGACACCTTGTGATCACACAGGCTGGTGTGCTTCTTGCATGTGGGCTTTGTTGCTTTTGAGCTAGATGGCCGTTTGTTTATCTTAAAGCCTTTAAGACCCCAGACGCTATATCTTTTGATAGCTGGGCTCCATCAGCTTTCTTCACCACATTTGCTTATGCACTCATTTTGTCTTCAGCGATCATGTCGGGAAGGTGAGCATCATGGAATGCCAGTTTAATAGAACAAAGTATTCTTGCATTGAGGGAGTACTTGAGTGGAGGCCCAATGTCCTTCTGCTACCTTAATACTAAATCTATACATATGTGCACATAAATCTATTTCCCATCCTCATATATAAATATATTTACATATGTACATGCCTGTATTTAGATCTCTATAAGTGACCTTTGCCTCCTTGCTCTTCTATTTCCTTTGACTTTCCTCTTGTCCCACTATCATGCTCAGTCTTCATTTGGGTTTCAGTAATTCCTCTCGGTTATATTATCCTTGATCATACCCTACCAGGCCCCAAAACCCTCCTCACCACCGATTTGGATCACTTGTTCCTTTGTCCCTGGGTTTGTTACCACCACTACCTTTCCCCTCACCTCCCTCTCTCCCATGTCCCCCCAGAACTGTCGGTCCCATTGTTTTTTCCTCCAGGTTGTTCATCCAGCGTATCTTATTTAGAAAGACCTGCAGAGATAATAACATGCACAAAAATAAGACAGAGCAAAACCAAGCAACAAAAGAAAACAAAACGACAAAAAACCAATGACAAACAAAACACAGCACAACAACAACAAATAAGAAAAGCTTGTAGTTAGTTCAAGGACTGCGTGTTGGCCTTTAGGAGTGTTTTCTGGTGGAACTGACTAAGCAATTGTTGTGAGATCTCACTACTTCAGACCAGCTGCACTCTGATTCTTATCACACCTCTGCCACTACTCGGTGGACTGACCCGGGGCAAGTCATGTCATCAGAAGCCTCGTCCGTATTTATAAAGTGAAGATGGCAGGCCAGATGATCCCTTCGTGTGACTCCTTAATCTGTTCTCCAAATTCTCCATACCAGGGAGTCACAGTCCAGGGCCATCGCAGGCCCTGGGAAGCCCTGCAGGAAAGAAGTCCGTTTCTCTGATATTGACTGCTAACAGATCGATATGAACACCAGCACTGTTTGCAGGTCTTGGGGTTTGCTGTCTTTAACTTACCTGGTACTTTTGTTTCGGTAGATGAGTCAGTTGAGAGGGAACTGGCATCACAGAGTCAGGCCAAGACGTACAGAGAAAAGGTAAGTATCACGCTCTAAGCTGGGTGGTCTCAGGCAAAGTCCTTCTAGGCCGTGGGTTTCTGTGTCAAGGAGCGAGAGAGTGGCACTCAGCTCTCAGGCTGATACCGGGGTGGCATCACACTTTCAGGTTTTAGGGTTTATCCCAAATCTCAGAACATACCGATTCTGGCCAGGAAACGTTCCCAGGAAAGCGCAGTAAACTGTAGGGTTCTCGGGGCTGGGGTCATGGCCTCAGGTTGTGCAGTGGAACCCAGCGCTGCCTGCAGCACGGTGTGACTCAGGGCGTGATGGGAGACTGCTCAGCTGTGCCACAGATGTTCCAGCTCAGCTCTTGGCAGGTCTCTTCGTTTTGAGAGCGTCTCCCTGAGTCACAGCTGGGGGAGAGCAGGGCCAGGCCTGCCCTGGTAACACAGCGTGTCTCTCGACAGATGGATTCTTGCATTGAAGCCTTTGGAACCACCAAACAGAAGCGAGCACTGAATTCCAGGAGAATGAACAGAGTTGGCAATGAGTCTTTGACTCTGGCGGTGGCTAAGGCTGCTGAGAACATCATTGATACGAAGGGGGTGACTGGTAAGCTGCCGGGATTTGTTAGGAGTCTGCCTGCAAAGACAGCTTTCCGGGGAAGGAGCTCTTTTGCTCGCTCCTCAGAAATATGGGCAGAAGAGGCTAGCTTCCTGCCTACCTGTGTGAGGGGCCCTCCTCTGGGCAGCCTCTGGAAGTATTGAGAAACCACTGAGCCGCCCTGCCCTCAGGGAGCTCAGACAAGTGAGGAGAAAGGCACATGAATGGATATGGCCACCGCTGTGTTCCTGGTGCCAGGGTTACAGCTGCAGGGCTCAGTGTGGGCACAGGGGAGGGCTGAGGCCGGCATTCTCTGCTGAGTCACGAGGAGGCTGTGGTCAGAGAGGTCTGATGGGGGGTGGTGCTTGGGGTGGGGCCACTAGAGAGCACTTCATTTTGAAGACAATGTGGGGGCTTCTCTGTTCCAAATTGCTAAGCAGTTGGAGTGAATGGTGCATAGTGGGTCCATGTTGGACTGCTGACCACAAGGTCCGAAATTTAAGCCCATCAGGCACTCCTCAGGAGAGAGATGGGGCTTTCCACTGCCGTAAAGTCTTGGAGTATTGGAAACTCCACGGGAGCAGTCCCATGTCCTAGAGATGGTCGCTGTGAGTCAGCATCAACTTGATGGCAGTGAGTTTGCTTTGTTTCGATTATGAAAAGCATTATAGAAGCAGTATACACACAAAAGAAAGTGTACATGTAAAAATTTAAAAATCACATATATGAAAGTCCACCCCCACTGCCCTCGAGTCCACTCTGGGTCTTTTGCTGTGAGGAATCCATCCTAGAGGGTCACTTCGCATCAGGGTCAAGGCAGTAAGGTGTGTGGGTGTCTGTGTGGGTGTGGTCCATTGCAGCATGCTATCTCACGTGGGTTCAAGAATTATTTTGTGAGTTTCCTTCAGAATCCAGTTGGGGTTGATAAGGAGTCACATTCTCTTTCCCCAGCAGGAACAGAGAAGTAGGTCTCTACATTTATTATTCAAAGACACGCTCTGCTATCTAAATAGAAATTTCAGCTTGTTTACTCTCATTGTTAAAGGACATTTAAAGATAAAACAACTTACCTAGATTCCCATCGTTTCTTTCTGTCAGCACGACTTGACTTTTCGGTGTTCTGTGGCCCCCGTCCCTGTAAGGCAGGCCTCACTCTTGCCTGTGTGGATGGGAAGGTGGCTCCACATAGTTTCCTCTTCTGACTTGTGTTCCCCCACTTACAACAGGGGGAGCCTTCAAAAGTTCATGACTAAGTGGAATGAGAAGACAAAGAACTCTTTGAAGCCCCCTCGTGTGTGCTCCGAAAGCTAAACAACTAACTGTTGAGTCTCCCTCATTTCTTGCCTCCTCGTACGCAGTAAATGGAACACATTCCTGCAGATATTTGTTAATGTGCTGGTCTCTCCCAGCTGACTGCAGGTTCTTGAGTGGGGCGCCACACTGCCCCGGCCCGAGCCTGGCTGCTGGTTGTTTCTGAGTGGGAGCCTGACGGGGAAGTTGAGTCAGGTTGGGAGAGAGGTGCAGCCACAGTGTTTCTGGGCCAGTTGTATCTGAGTGCACAACTTGAGAAGGGTGTTGGGAGCCCGAAGCCACAGGGGTCCTGACACTCGTTCTTCTTGTTCAAAAGCTCTCCTCAGTGATGCTGCCCAGGATGACTTGCAAGATGACTCCGTCTACCTTCCTCCCTGTTACGCTGATGCAGCGGCGCCTGAAGATGTCTATAAATTTGAAGATAGTATCCTTTTTGCAGCTGCTTCAAGTCCCAACTTGGGATGTGTGTACGTGAATGGCCCAGCCAGGCCCGGAGGGGGTTGGTGGTCCCAGGAAGCACAGGAAGGCTACGTGCAGACCTCTGCAGTCGCCCCAGGGTTGTTGCTGGGAGGTCAGCAAGGCTTCCTCTCCAACTGTCTGTTCCGACCTGCGCCCATTCCTCCACAAGATGCCAAATGTCCCCTGCTCAGATCTGGAGGGGAGAGGGGCTTCACCCAGAGTATACAAAATGGGACTTGAGTCCACTGATGTCCAAAGTGTAGCGCTTTTATAAATGGAAGCTATGGAGAGTAGAGGTCACTTCTCAGCCTATTCGGATGGAAGATGCAGGCATTAGCTTTATGATCAGGAAGAGAAGGCAGAGAGGTCCAGGCATCCCCTGTAGCTACTCTATGCAGTTCGCTCCTTCGCAGCAGTTACCTTGTTGACCTGCTCAGCAGGTAACAGCCACACATGACCCCATTGCATCTGCTCTCAAAGCAGAGTTTCTTAGAAGCCTAGTTCTGTCATTATTTGTTTTTCTTCTTTTTTCATTCCCTTACTGATCTTAGGACAGCAGCGTCCTCCTTATAGTAATCTGCCTGATTCTTTGGGACAGTTATACAAGACTACAGTGTCCTTATTTCATGACAGAGCTCACTGTCACCTCGGGACAGTTTTGAACTGAATTACCTCGGAGTCCCTGCCCTTACCCAAGACAGCAGTTTCCCAGGCACAGTGTCCAGGCCCCAGGCCATTCCAGGCGGCAGCAGCACAGCCACCTGCTCGTTTCCCTCCCTCTTTTTCCTTTGGTGCAGTTTTTGGAAGCAGTTTATTGAGATAATATTCGCATGCAGTACAAGTCACTCATCAAGTGTGTACAAACAATTTTTATATATCCATCAGGTTGCCTAACTGTCCCTGGAATCTAGTTTGGGAACCTTTTCCTTCTCCCCGAAGAGTCCCGTGCCCAACAGCAGTCACTCCTCCTTCCCTCCGGCCACTCCCAGCCTTCGGAAACCAGTTCTTTATCCACACTGCAGTTCCGGCTCACACATTCTGGCTGTTATGCGTAATGCTCCTGTGAACATTCACATGTTCGTTTTGGTAAGGTAGTTAGTTACACATATAATTTCTTAATCATCTATGTGTGGACCTATATCGTATGGTAACTCTAGCCTTCGAGGACCTGCCAGACCGTTTACCAAAGCAGCTGTTACTTTACATTTTCACCCAACAGCCCAGATGGATTCCAGGTCCACACCTTCACCAACACTGTGTGTGTGTGTGTGTGTGTGTGTGTGTGTGTGTGTGTGTGTTTCATGATAGGCATTCTAGGAGTGCAAAGTGGTACCTCACAGGTTTACTTTGCATTACCCTGATGATTAATGATTTTGAGCATCTTCTATATGCTAATTGGCCATTGGTAGATCTTGGGAGAGTGACTGCATTTCCCTTCCATGAACAGAGTTGCCTTGCCCCAGACGTACGCTTAGTTCCAGACCACGGACTAGAACCAGGGTTGCTGATTCCTTGACCAGAACTGCCTACCCCAGCTATGACTGCACCCTTTGTTCATTGCCTTCATGCCCTTTAATCCAAAATGCTGGTCTCTCCTCTTGCGTAAGGAAAAGGTAGCGTGGACGGGCAGACGAAAGAAGAACTTTGCTTGATGACTGAGGGCTGAACAGAGAGGTACTGGTGTGCTCCCGAGAGAGGTGGCCTCGGGGCTGCCGAGGCCCACGTGGTGCTGGGGCTGGACTGTGGCATCAGATGCCGTAGCTTGAAGCTCGGCCACTTCCCGACCGTGCCCTTGGACAAGTGTCTTAACCGCTGCACTTTCTCCGCTGACAAGATGAGGCTGCTTGTCCCCGTTGCCTCCGTAGTGGGTCTGTGAAGCTCAGTTGAGGGAATGAAGGTGAAAGCTCTCCGACCTGTGAACGTAAGGGGAGGAGGGCTTCCCGGCTCAGAAGCAAGGCACCCTCAACAGCCAGTGTTGATGTTTATTAAAACAACAGCAACAGGGGATGCTGTTGTGGGGGGTGGGGGCACGAGCTAGCAGGATGTTTCCTTTTTGGTTGGATTGGATTGGGTTCCTGACCTGCGACTAGTTCTGTCCCGGGTGGAGTATGATGCTCTTAAGAGCCCATCTGAAGCGTTCAAGAATGTCACATCAGAAGAAATCCTGAAGATGATGGAAGAGAACAGGTAACCCCTGAGGGCGGGTGTAGGGCCTGGGGAGTGAGGTAGGGACTGTCTGCCAGGAAGTGGAGCTTGGGTGTCAGCTGTGGGGCCTGTACGGTCAGTGCAGGAACACAAGTGAGCCAGCACGTCCTTGAAGGCCTCGCCTCAGGCACGAGATTCCAAGGCTGTTGGCACTGAGGGTAGAGCGCCGGCCTCTGGCGGATGGATCCTGGGGCTGGGCGGAAGGGTGGTGAGTTGGTGCAGGAGCCGTGGTGGTCTGAGTCGTTGCCCACCTGAGACTGAGTCTGTGGCCCACAAAGCCTAAAGCGTCTGCTCTCCCGCCCTTGTGGCCCGCGCCTGCAGTAAACCACGCAGGGAGGGCTCTGTCCGCTCAGCTGTGAGGGGTGCTTTCTAGTCTGATGGAGAGAGTGCACAGCTTTTGAGTTCATCCGTCTTTGCCTGACACGGCCCGCCCTCCCCCTCCGTTCTAGTCATGGCTCCTTTGTTATCGACGCACTGAAGTCCTTGCCTGCAGACGAGGAAGGCCGAGACCGCCAGGCCCGCTGCATCTGGTTCCTGGACACGCTGATCAGATTTCGAGCTCAGAAAGTGATTAAGCGGAAAAGTAAGCCCAGGATTGACGCTTTGCTTTAAGGCATTGTTTGCTTGTAAGCCTTCGATTGGCTGTAAGGAGAGAAGAAAACAGACTTGTCTGTCCAAGTCTTTATGTTTAACAGTGAGTAGGGTGGCTGAAGTGCAAGAGGCCAGGCCCATTCCCCGAACTGGGTGTCCCATTTCTCAGTGGAAAACAGGACAGGTTGGGTGACCTGATTGCCGGAGGGCCTACCAGAGCCAACATTCGCTCCTTACCCGCTGCATGCGGCGGAGCAAAGGATCCAGGTCAGTCGTGCTCTGTGTATAGTGCAGTGTAGAGAAACAGGTGGCCTGCCTTGTGAAGTAGGTTTGGGTTGTGCCTGCCAACTATTGTCTGTAGCGCACAGTCCATTTCCATTGGGAACAGTGCTGTTTGTAGCTTGGGCCAAACGTGCTTAACCGCACCCAGCACTGGAGACCGAGCAGATGTCGCTGGGCCATTCGGACTGGGACTGGGAATCATGGTTTTCAGTATTCACTTTATGACATATTTATTTCGTGTGCTTGGCCTCATTTGAGTCCCCCCCCCCCACACACACACCCTTTGCCCCATACCTGGTGAACTGCACTCCTGTCCCTGGTGTGTGTGTGTGTGTGTGTCCGTGTCCGTGTGTGTCCGTGTCCACAGGCTGCAGTGCACCAGAGCACGTGGTCCTTTGGAAGTGGCTGTTCTGTGCATCTCTCGCCCCAGTACATGGTTGTGTCAGCCGCCCAGCTGTTGGCGTGGGTCTGTTGAAAGCGAAAGCTTAAGCTGAGCTCTGTGTTGCAGGCGCCCTGGGACCCGGAGTTCCGCACATCATCAACACCAAGCTCCTGAAGCAATTTACCTGCTTGACTTACAACAATGGCAGGTCAGGGGAAGCGATTTCTGCGTTCCTGTCTGTGCAGGAGAAAGTGGGTTGAGGGCAAGGGGTGGGATGGGGAGAGGGCTTGGTTTTGGTTCCAAGTGCACCCAGAGAGGGTGTCAAAAGAGTGTTGGCAGTTGAAACAGCATAGAGACTACTTGATACTCTGCCCCACTTGGAGAAGTTCACGGCCCACTTTTGGAACGCTGAAGGCTGGGGAGAGCCCTGCAGTAAAGACTGCGTTCATCTCAGGTGCTCCCCTTCAGAAACTCTCGCTAAAGCCCCACACACGCGTGTTCTGTGGACAGGCAAACCACAAACCAGGTGCACCGCCATCCAGTCAGTGCCGACTCACAGTGGTCCTCTAGGACGGGGTCGAGCTGCCCCTGTGGGTTTCTGAGACTGAAACTCTTTGCGGGAGTAGAAAGCATCATCTTTCTCCTGTGAGCGGCTAGTGGTTTCAAACTGCCAGCCTTGAAGTTAGCAGCCTACCACCTATCCCACAGTGCCAGCAGGGCCCCCTTGTAGAAAGGCAGGCTGATGTGCCGACTTGGAGGAAAGCATCCCAAGGGGTGCACCACCCTCCTGCAGTGTGCTCACCGCCAGCTGCCTGCTCCCGCTTGCGCCTGGAGCGTGGTCAGCACCTACACTCGGCTGCTTTCCCAGCAGCCTTTCTGAGCAGTCAGGGGCCTTGCTGTGGGAAGGGCTAGCTGCCTGGGGAAAGCATAGGCGTGCTTCTTGTCCGACTTGGAAGGAAGGAAGCAGTGGGGCTGTGAGGCGCTGTATGGGAAGGCCGAGAAACAAAGCCAGACCCACTGGCGGGCAGACCATTCTGACTCGGTGACCCTGCAGGACAGAGTAGAACTGCCCCATAGGGTACCTGAGGGCGTGAACCTCATCTTTCTTCTGTGGAGCGGCTGGTGGGTTTACACCGCTGACCTGCCAGTTAGTACAGTGCCCCATAACCCACTGAGCTGCCAAGGCGCCTGTGAGAAGGCTGGGGCACCTTTAAGGGGACAGAGGATGCACACACACAAACACACACAATGGAAAGACATGGTGTGCATTACTTGAAAACTATGTATTTTTGCTTTTGGAGAAATTGACTTAATGTTTAATTTTGTGTCGCTTTTAACGTCACGAATTCCACAGTCTCCGGAACTTAATTTCGGATTCAATGAAGGCAAAGATCACCGCCTATGTGATCATTCTCGCCTTGCACATCAGAGACTTCCAGATTGACCTGACAACGCTGCAGAGGGACTTGAAGCTCAGTGAGAAAAGGTGAGCCAGTGCATGAGCAGCCTCCCCCCCCACAGGGCCTTCCTGGAGCTCCCCGACGGTGCCCCTCCTCAGTGAGGAGTGTGCCGGGGAGTGGACAGGGAGGTTTCTGTTCATGCTTAGCAGTGTGGCTGCCTCCTGTGAATGTAGTTCTAGTTCCACTGGACAGCGTGAGGCACCATCGAGGGCGGGGCACGTTTCCTGTGGGAAAGACTTGGGACCGGGGGTGGGGGGTGGGGGTGAGGGCTTGAGGAAGTTGTCATCAAAAAATCTCTCCCCTTTGCAGTGAGCAAGTGAGTTGGCAACCAGACATCACCAAGTCCCTCCTCTATACCAGGCACCACATGAAATTCAGACATCTGCGTTCACTCATTTCCCTGAAAATCACCTGCGGACTCAGGGCTGCAGAGAAGTAGATGGCTTCCTCATGGTCACGTAACCAAGAGGAATAGTTGGACTTCAAGTCCGAGTCTCCCCACCACTTTCTGTTCTTGATGATCAAGTAGCCCCCATTTGCCATATGCTCTTCACTGGGGAGGGGTGATCTGTGTGGCCCAGAGCAGTGGAAGTGTGAGTAGATCTCAGAAAAGCAAGAGGCATGTTTTAGTCACATGGAAGGGGCTGCCAGAGGGTGAGTCAAGGCAAGGCAGAGCTGGCATTTGGCAGGAAGCCACATTTCAATTTCCTTGCCAGTTGGGAGAGTAGATGCAGATGAACTTCCGACCCCCTCTAGCTCTGTTAGCGGGGGCTCAAGCTCCCCAGGGCCCTGAACTCCAGCATCTGTTGGTCTTTGTTGGAGAGTTAGGAACTCTGATGTCCAGGGACCTTGACGATGTGCCAGGAAAGCCCAGGAAAACTGCCTTGTCCACTACAGCAAGGCCCCGGGATTGTCTGCCAAGAGTTGTCCACCACGGCAGTCCCACAAGCTGTGAGGTGGAAAGAAGAGAGCAGATCCTGCGAGTGTACACTTCTCACAGGTGCTCCGCCCTCGCGGCTCTACAGTAACTGTGGGAAGCAGAGAAAGGTAGTAGGATCTAGATAGCCTGGCTTTCTCTCCATGTGGGGAGCTTCAGAGACCATTCTTCTTCTAATGACAGCACATGAAAACGAAACGGGATCCCAGGGCTTGGCTCCAGGTGGCCACTGTTGGGGATTCTGGAGATTGTCCCACTCCCTCCTGCCCAGCCTGCCACATGCTCTGTCCCTGCCTTCCTTCCTTAGGATAATCGAGATCGCGAAAGCCATGCGCCTAAAGGTCTCGAAAAGGAGGGTGTCTGTGGCGGCCGACAGGGACGAGGATCACAGAGTGGGCACGTTGTCCCTCCCCCTGCCACCAGCCCAGACTGCGGACCATGCCAAGCGGAGGAGAATCACCTAGCTGTCTGCTTCCCACATGGAGCATCGGCCACGGCTTCTACTTAGATTTCTGGAAAGGAAGAAAGAAGCATGTGTTGATGCAGGTGTGAGGTCAGAGACCAGCGTCAGGGGCGTGCTCGCACCCTTCAGCAGAAATACAGAGCGGCAGCCAGACGGGGCCTCTTCACCCTCCTTTGGCAATACTCGGGGTCCTCAGTTGATCGTGTTTGGTTCCCAGGGATAGGGAGGTGGGAAAGTGGGGCCTGGGGAAGTTGGAAAGATCTCTCCAGTGCGAACCCTGGGCCAGATCGAAAGGTTGAGGGTTTATAAAGAGAACTATGAACATCTATGCTTTGTTTGGAAGGCCTGGTGAGGAGGATGTCGCTGTGTCAGGGGCGCACTGTGTGTGGGCCTCAGTGTGGGGCTACCTTAACCTGGTAGGACCGAATCGAAAGAAATGATACCCCAGTTGCTCCGCAGGGTTCAGACCACATAGCTGGCCGAGGTCAGCCCTGAAAGCCACACTATTTTCTTAAAAACTCCTGTGGATTGGATGGAGCTCTACAGAGCAGCTTAGTTTTCCATTCAGCAGTTCCTACACGTTGTTTCACAGGTTAACACGTCACACGCCTTCTGTGTTCTTAGCTCTTTCCCTAATCCTTGTGAACTGTGCCCGTGGGTAACTACTGCTCAGTAGGTGTCAAATGATTGGTTATTCTGAGATGCTCTTAGCTCCCTAGTTACTGGTCCCTGGCAGGACTGTCGTTGGCTGGCGGAAAGTGAGCCACGGGGCAGAGTTCCAGGCACCGGCTGGAAGGGTGGCCAAGGGCGTCGTCTTGGGCTCCCCCGTCCGTCTGCTCAGTGTGCCTGCACTTGTTTCTCACTTTTCTCCCATTCTATCCAGGGCCTTCCCATACGATCTCTTTCAGGTCAGGTGGTCCTGGTAGCTCAGACTCCATCCAGTTCTGGTCTCTGCGCTCTTGAGCCTGTTAGAGTGGTCCAGTAGTCCGTTGGACAAGTTATTTTCGTGTGTCTTCCATTTTTCCTATCTTCTGAAGGGACATAGACCAATAGTTCCACCTTCGATGGCTGCTCTCCTGACTTTAAGACCCCAGTTGGGAAGCCATGATTTTGAGGGGACTGAATCAGTGTTCGGTACAGAAAGCAAACTTCTAAATATTTTTAGAACACACAAAGTGTGTTGGAAGCCTGCGTTTCTCCACTCATTTCTACGGCCCGGTCGGCAGTCAAAGTCAGGAACCTGGCCTCCTACATGCTTCCTTCCTATGCACAAGTGTAGGGACCCCCTTTACACTGACACCCTGAGCAGCGAGGGAGCCTTGGGTTTCATCTCTCCAGCCTCCTAACTCTGGAAAGGCAACCTAGAAGGCAGTGGGAGTGGGTGCGGATTGCCCCTGGGGGGGATGGGGAAATCATTGTGCGGAGGAGCTGACTGGACCAGGAATATGACGGGACAGACCGGATCATGGACTGTGCTTGGCCCCAGACCTCCAGGACTTTGCAGACGGAAGCAGGTGAGGTCTGTGGTGCGTAGCTGGGAGCCAGGGCCAAAGGAGAAAGGGAGGTTCTTCCCAACCAAAGTTCAGCTCTTGGCACAAATGGGAAAGGAAACGGTTCCACAGTTGGCTGCTGGGCCACTGTTAAGGTCAGGTAGAGGAGCAGGGACGGTCTAGTTCTGGGATGTTGTCTCAGTGTCCCTTCCAAGGCAACAATACATGCGAAGCGCCCACCTTCCGTGCTCTCCATCTCGTGTGTCTGCTCCCAGCCAGTGATTCTGCACCCACCACACCGGTCTGCCTTTGGGAAAAGGCCCCCTCGTGTACTCTCAAGGGGAACGGTTTCCATAAAAATCTTTTCCAATGGGTTTGGCATTTTGAGGCTTCAGTTCTAGGAATGACGGGGCTGTGTCATGTGACTGGCCCCTCTGGACAACCCTGGTCCTGGTTGGGAAGCAGCCCACTTTCAGACAGTCACAAGCGGGAGGGGTGGCATTGACTGCAAGGCAAATGTGCCAGGAGGTCTACGTGTCCCCGAGAACATCTGCAAGCACAGTGGTTGACGTGGCTATGGCCCGAGTTCTCAGAGGGCCACAAACCCACCGCACTCCGCTCTCTCTGGCCAGTGACAGGCAGTAAACATCTGTAGAATGAGAATCAGACAAGGTGTTTTCTGGCTCAAAACCCACATTCACCAGCACCTTCACAGAAGCTACCTTGATCTCACCAAGCCATTTGCCAGAATGCCTGTCTCCTGCAGGCCCAGGGCTGGATCGGGTGTCCATAGGTTTGTGTATACTTGGATGTCATTTCACACTTAGACGTTCAAAGACAATACAAATGACTCCTATATACTCTACCCAGATTCCCTATTAATTCTTGGTCTATTGTTTGGTTTACCACATACAAGGGGGCCTCAAAAAGTTCTTTTAGTGAAGAACATTCCATTTTCCTGTGAACTTTTGGAAGCCCCTTGTGTCTCAGATTCATGGGGTAATCTGCACACCTTGAGCCCTTTCGTCCTCAAGTACTTAGGCATGTACTAGTAAGGACTGTCATGCGGAACTGGCTGTGCCCACAGCTGGAACCTGCTACGTGGGAGCGTATGGAAGAATGTGCAGACCTCCAGAAGAGGGGCTCTGACTGTTGATCTTCACAAGCCTCCCAGGGGATGGCAATACTGGTCAACCCAACCGACTGAAACCCTGAGCAATCAGCGCAGCCCCTCAACAGACTCTGGGATCCGGAGTCCCCATGGGAGCAGGGGACCTGGGATTTGCCATCCCCCTCCAGGAGGCAGTGGGGCCTCTGGGAGGCCAGGCAGAGCCCTGCAGGGCCTGCATCCTCCCCTGGGAGTGCTAGCCCACCCTTCCAAGTAAATGCCACAGGCACCTCTTAAAATAGAGTACTTTATTCCATTACGGAGGGCTTTTTTTTTTTAAGCACTTGATTCACAGAAAAGTTCTTACAAAATGAAGGCAGCATTTTGTACAGCAACTCACATGGGCCAGAGGGAAGTGCAGGGCAGTGCTGCGCCTAAGGCCTTCTGAGAGAAACCAGTGTTGGCTCCCTCCACTCCCCTCCCGCCCCACTCAGCAGAGCAGCACCGAGGGCCCCACAGGACCAGCCTCCCCTAGGAAGCTGTCATCCAAGTGGGTGACAGCGACCCCGGCAGGCTGGTGAAGGCCCCACAGGGAAAGCCAAGTGGCATCGGAGCAGGCAGCCCAAGTCCATGCTGCTTGTGCCCAGCTTGCTTCTAGCAATTGGGGTCTGAGCCCACCTGGCTCTGGGACCTTAACACGGTTTGGTAAAACCCTTTGGGAGCCAGCCTTCCTCCTCACCCATACCATCAACCCTGCCCTGGCCTGGGGACACAGATGGGAGACCTCAGGCAAGTGGGTGGGACAGGGATAGCTCCCTAAACAAGCCAACAAGCCGGGAGTGCTGGGGACCCTGAGGAGGCAGAGGGAAGGCGTGGGAGTGCTGTGTGGAGATGGCAGTGTGTCAGCTAAACCTGGCCCTGTAGACGTGGCAGAGAAGGGCATGCCAGAGGAAGACAACCCGAGGCCAGGCACAGAGTGGGGGCACACAGACACGGCATGTCCATCTTCTGGCTGAGTCTGTAAAGCCTGAATCCTTCAGAACCGGCACCAAGGTTTGGCCTCCTGGGTCTGGGGGGGCACCTTGAGACAGCCCTGCACCTGTCCAGCCTAGCACCCATCTGTCCTCTTGAGCCACTTGAAGGAAGGTGACTGCCATGCACCCCTACTATCTGTGTGGCCTCTTGCCATCACTGGGGTCATCTTCCAAGAGGGCCTCCCTGGTCCATGCCCGAGTCTAAGTCAACCAAAGCCAACGCCTGGCTCCCCAGTCAGCTGGGAGGGTGTGGTAGTGACCCTGCTGGATGCAGAGAGGTCTGGGAGAGGGGAAGGATTGTAGGACAGTGGTCTCTTCCCTGAGAAGAGCTTGTATTTGGTGTGAGAGGTGGTTCCCTGTACCTCAACAGAACACCTTGACCAAAGCCTCACGGAGCGTCAGAGTCCCCAAGCCTTCATCATCAACCAGAGCTTGAGTGCGTGGAAGCCCACTGACTGACTTCCACCCTCTTTTCTTGCTGACACTCATTTCCAAGCTCCTTCCTGTTGCAGGCTGTGGAGGAGAAGCGTCTTAGAGATGCCTTGTTCTCCGTCTCCAGGAGACCTGGGAGCCTGGTGCTTCACATGGTGGAGGGAGGGCGGGAGGGTGAGACGGCCCTGGAGTCTTCTCGGGACTGCACTACCGTTCGAAGGGCCTTGGCCGGCGAGCTCTGTGAGCACCTGTCAGGGCCTGGCCCTGAGAGCAGGGATGCGGCTACTGTCCCGGAGTCACCCGGGCCCGGGCCTGAGCGGAGGCAGTCTCCATCCTCAGAGGATGGTGCAGAAGATGCTGCGGTTCCTGTGGTAGCCACCCTCCACGCGGGCTGTGAGCCGGGTCGCCATGGCGGCCACCTTCTGCCCACTGTGTGCCACGGACGGGCCTCTGAGAGAGTGTTCCAGGTGAGGCCGCGCTGGTGGGTTCACTAGACGCCATGTGTCAGACCTAGAGGTGCGACAAGGGAGTCGGTGAGCTCGGACAGGTATAGCACGCTTGCTGAAGGCCGCCCACAGCAGTCCCTCTGACTCAGGCTCATCAGATCCGTGGGTAAAGCTGATTGTAAGTTCTGTCTCTCAGATTCATGAGAGCCCAAGGGTGGGGGTGGGGGTGGGGTGAGCATGTGTGAGTCTCGGGAAAATTCCCAAGCTCTCCTTCCAGCCCTGCAGCAGCCTGGGACAAGTTCCCTCAAAGGGGCCCCCTTTTCCTGTCTTTAAATACGTGTTCATCCCTGCCCCCATAACCACCAGACATTAACAGCGACTTCCATACCATGGAAACTCCTTCATAAACACGCGTGAACTATTTACCTATAACACCGCAGATGTATTGGAACCAAAAACTCACTGCCATCAAGTGAACTCCGAACTCGTAGGGACCCTGTAGGGCAGGGCAGAACTGCGCCTCTAGGTTTCTCAGGCGGCCAACCTCATTTTCCCACGAGACGGCTGGTGGTTTCGGATGCTGACCTTGTGGTTAGCAGCCCAACCATAACCCACCACATCACAAAGGCACCAGGTGGGGAGAGCAGCCGGGCGCACCAGACATTGCCTACAGCCTGTTTTCTTATCAGTGAAGTTCTTGAACACACAACTCTGGGGTGGGGGGCGGAGAGCTGATGGAGCTCTGCCGTACCTTGTTCATTCCCAGGGGTGATGCCACAGAGCATGTTTGTCAAAACACAGCTGCCGACTCAGAAGGGTGAGTTTTGCTGTAAGTTAGGGCTAGCTAACAGCAGCCCGTGGGCACAGTGCTGGGCTGGTGAGCCTGCGTGGGTGTCTCCGAAGAGGGAGGGTGTGGGGCGGGGGGAAATATGTAATTTTCACACTTTAAAGGTTTCTATTTATGACGTCGTTTATAATGGAAAACAATACTGATAGACTTATACACAGGCTTTACAAATATTTATGAGGCTTCAGTTCTCTTTTGATTCAATTTTTTCCCACAAATTTTTGAAACCCCCTCATTCACGTATGAGGTGGGTTTCCTCGGAGCACGCTAACCAACCATGTCTATGTAATATGAGAATCCAGTCAGGGCTGTGGCCGTGGGAGATTCATAGTGGTGAACGTGGCAGGATGCACAGGGCAGCCACAGCAGTGCGGGCATGTCAGTACGGCGTAGAAGGCAACGTCACAACCAGTAGTATAACTGGTGATGACCCATACTTGTTCTACAAACAACTAGGACAGGCTTACTGAACACCACTTACTGGCCATACAGACTTACGTGAGTGGGCGAGGTGCCAGGATCTTAAGTGGGGTAGCAGCAGGGGGAGGAGGGGAGGTACCAAGTGCAAGAATGTCCTAGAAGCTGGTGACCAAGTGAACGAGGGAGGAGGCGGTGGCGAAGGCTTGGTGGCCAGTGGTGCCACGGGGACCACAGGAGGACTGAGTTGGGGGGGAGGGGAGTAAGGCAGGTGTGGTGCAGAGAGGCAGACATGGCAGCGGGTATTTTTCATCACGGGTACAGCATGACTTGGTCCTGTGGTCTTACATCTCTGATGCTGCACACCAGGTGGTATGGATTGGATTTCACTAAGGTTCAGAAATGTCAAGAAACTTTCCCAAGATCACACAATCGGAGCTGAGACATGAAACCATATATGTAGTCCCAACTCTTAAAACAGGTTCTCTCCCAGGGGGTGAGGTACTGGTCAGCCCAGGCCTGACCCCAAACCCAAGTGCAGGCCGTGATTTGACCAGAGCTAGCAGCCTCCGTCGTAGGCCTGGCCTGGCTCCTGCAGGGACCCCACCAGCCGGGGTCCTAGCAGGCTAATTCAGGCGGCACTTACTTTTTCTTGAAGACCAGGAACTTGTTGTTCTGCATGACGCATTCTCTGTTGTTGGAGATCTGCTGAAAGATGGTCTTGTTGGTCTTGCCCTGGAAGATGATGTTTTCCTGCACAAGGGCCTTGGCTCGGCCGCGCACCGCAATGCCGTAGGCCCGGAAGGAGTGGATCCTGTTCTTTATTACCTGGGGGAGGCATCAGGACAAGTCACACTCAGAGGCTCCTGACAATGGGGAACTACACACGTGGGCCAGCAACACACCTTCCTCTCAGGCTAACAGGAGGCTGGAGAGCCCGTAGCACTGAAATGCCACAAGGACTAGCTGAGTCTGTCTGGCTTGGCACTGTTACCCTAACACTAGCACTGTGGTTTGCACAAATGGAGTGCTCCCAGCTCCCCCAGTCCTGTGGGGTTGGCAGACAAGGCACAGACCCAAAGCCCTGTGGGAACTGCTCTTTGAGACAGAAGCCAAAGAAGAAGCACTTCAGACAGCTGAGGGAATGGGGGCGTCCAGAAAAAAGGTGACAGCTAAGCTGTAGGACTGAGAGGGTGGGGAAGTGGGTATACCTGGTATACAGAGACCAGGTGTGCAAAGGCCCTGTGGCCAGGTCCCCTTTAAGCACATGACTGCACACAGGTCCTGTGTGAGAGTCCTCTGGGAGGGAGGCACTGAAACAGCTCTGACCTGGACCAGGAGGCCACAAAGCGACCTCGGATTGCTCCAGCACCCAGAATCTAGAAGGGGACCACTCCTGCAGCTCAGCCTTCACGGTCCGATGCATGTGGCTCCCACCCCCTGTAAAGCCCACCCACGTCCTCCACACTGGGCCCTGACAGGAACAGCATTGTCCCATGCAGCCTGAGGCTTAGGGTTCGACTGCTCAGCAGGGAGAGTCTCCCGGGGTCATCACATGTGCACATGCACACACACACACACACACACACACACACACACACACACACACACCTTTGTGTCAGACCTGGGCAGCAGTTGCAGCCCACTGCCCCGGTTGCCAATGATGTCGTTTTCGATGACAACAGTGCTGTCACCCTTGGTGATGATGCCATGGCCCCTGTTGTCGTAGATGCCATTGCCCCTGAGCTCCACCTTGCACTGGGCCTCGACCTTGACTCCACTCTGCCGGTTGCAGGAGATGCTGTTGTTGGTCACGTGGGTGAGCTGGCTGCTCTGGGCTATGGTGATGCCGCGGTCTCCGTTTGCATGGATCACATTGGTGACGATGTGCAGGGCCTCGCTGCTTTGCACATAGAGTCCCGAGGCTACAGAGGGAAAGGACAGGTGGTCCCAGGGTCAGGCCCGGAACACCCCCTGCAGGCACCTTCCTTGGAGCGGGCATGTAGGAGAGGCAGGGAAGCAGCAGCAGCCATGCAGCAGAACCTTCCAAGCTGGATGGCAAGTGGCCGAACCCGGGGACCTCGGGAACAGTGGTACCTTCTGAGCCAAACCTTTACTAACTGTAGGCAGGGAAGGGTGGCGCCTGATGGCTCGGGCCCGGGTCAGCCTGCCGACCACTCCCAGACTGCCCGGTCTGCCTCAGCCAGACGGATCGGCCTCCTAGAGTGTGTCGGTTGGTTTTCCTTCTCACACTGGGCTGCAGTCTGGCTCCCTACTGCTGTGGGAAGTGTTCTTCACAAAAAGTTAATAGGCTGAGGCCACGAATCTAAAGTGCATTTGAAATTCACTGCAAGGGAAAATGGCCATTGAGGGCTGGGCATGCGTGAAGACACTGGGTTCACAGAGAAAGCACAGCCAGGCCTGGGGAGGGGCAGCAGCTGTAACCGTGAGGGAACCCTATGAATTTTAAAATCCAGTCTAAGATAACGTGGACTTAAAACACACACTTTTGGGTGCCTCTAAGTTAACTCCCTGGCCATAGGACCATGGCACCTGATCAGCTGGGAGAATGTCATCAGAGAGGCCTCACTGTGCATGCTGTCTGGGGACGTCGGCGAACGTGTGGGGACATACGTGTGCACACGCCTTGGTGAATCAAACGTCAGCTCGGGTGCACTGAGCAGAGGGAGATTCGGTTCTCTGCCCACATCCACGCCATAAAGAGCTGAAGGAACAGCCCAGAGGCCCCTGGGAATGAGTCCCAGCTGGGCGGGTGGAAGGCTGCATTCAGGCGGATGCGTGGATGGGAGGAGGGTATCTGGGGCAGAAGACACGGCCTGAGCAAGCGTGGGGTGTGGCTGCAGGAGGGTCCTGGGGCCCTGGGGCAGGCTTACCCCCACTGTGGTTAATGCTGTTCGACTCCACCAGCGCGAAGGCGAGGGGCCGGCGCAGCGGCTCGTCCTCTTTCTCCAGCTCCGTCTCCCAGAGGATGGCATCCCCGTCCTCGCTGAAGTTCTCCTGGGCGCCGTGGCCTCCAGGGAGCTCGCCGGAGCCATCCTTCTGGCTGAACACCGCCACGCCGTAGAGACCATTGTAGCTGACGTGGTTGCTGGTGACGTGGGGCAGGCTGGACGCCATCATCCACACACCACAGCCCTTGTTGGCTGGGACGGTGAGAGAGGCTGGTCATGGCCACGCGGCTCCGGGGAAGCAGCCCCAGTGTCCCCCCCAGAGGGGCAGCAGAAAGCATTGGCAGTCCCTCACTTGCTAAGTGGCCTAGGCCATGTCCCTGCACGCCCCTGGCTGAAGGTTCTCCTGCATACAAGGGTGGGCCTAACCCCCCAGTCAATCAGCCGCCGCCCAGTTGGCTCGGCTCCCAGGGACCGGGGGCTCTGAGGGCTGTCACAGCCGCTCCTTAACAGCAGCTGCCCTCCACCCCTGGTGCCCAGGCCAGTGGGCCTTCAGCGCTCAGCCAGCCCAACCCTCCGTAGCCACAGAGCGAGGCAAGCCCCCAGCACGACCGTTTCCTCACTGTGGGGCCTCTGAGCCCGTTTCCTCCTCTTCACAGTGGGTCAGTGACCAAGCCCACCTCGGAGGCCGGTCACAAGGATGAGATGGGGCAGCACGTGTGCGTGCAGGGCTGGGCAAAGTCGGGCCTCAACAACTGTGAACTCCTGCCCGTGTCCTCAGAGAAGCTTGCCCCACGGGTCACAGTGAGTGACAACGGGCACCTGTTGCCGTCATGACTGTCTGTTGTCTGGCTTCAGAGAGAGGCTACAGCACCAGGAGCTTGACTCCTTCATGGTGGAGCCGAACTGCCTGGCTCTTAGACCAGACCAACTCCTGCCTTGCCTTGGCTGTCACAAATGGCGTCCACAAATGGTCTGCCCAGAGGACCCTCGGGATTGATGAGTGGCTCTTGTTGGCAGGGGGGGTGGGGACTGAAAACAATCCCATTCTTTGAGACCCCAGATGGTGCTGATGCTCTTAGGCCCCAAGCTGGGCTTCCCACTGCCCTGGCCCTGCCCCGGGGACTAGCTCCTCACCATAGATGGTGTTTCCTTCTATCAGCCCTTTGCCCTCGTCGCCCACGACCACGCCGTCGGAATAGCCAAAGCAGATGAGGTTGCTCCTGAGCACAGGGACCCCGCCCCGGCGGATGTCCACGCCTCCCCACTGATTCTCCCGGATGACGTTTTCTGCGGAGAGAGGCAGGAAAGAGGGCCACTTCCAGTGCGGGCAGTGGGGATGAGGGCAGCAGAGCAGAGGACAGGTCCGATGGGAGCTGTCAGCAGGTGGGAATTGTGCCTGGTTTGGTGTCTTGGGGACTCGCCGGCTGCCTCCACCCAACAACAGCCTTGAAGACCGATGATTACGGCTAAGGCAGCTTTAGGTGGCCCACGGGAATAACCTAAGGGTGGAGTCCAGCCATCTCCTCCAAGCCTGGGAGGTGCTTGTTCCTGGCCTTGACCTGGGCACTGAATTCTGACCGTACCTTCCATTCCCTGCTCCTGGGGGCCAGCACCTTTCAGGGAGTGCGCTAAAGTCACAAGTCAGAAGGGGCAGTGCAGCAGAGGCACAATGGTTCAGAGACCGTGTGACTGGCCCTCCTGGCCTTGGGGACGCCACCTCACCCCACTCGGCCCTTGTTCACAGCCCCACCTCTCACATTCACAGCACACCAAGCATGCCCCACAGGTGGCTCTGCATGGAGGATCTCTGCTTCAGTTTCCTCCCGTCACTTCGGCTTCAGTGCCGCTTTCTCAGAAAAGCCTGCCCTAGGCACACAGTCTGAACTAGCATGCCGTCCCACTATCAGCTTGTTCCCATCGTCAGCAGAGCGCTCAGCCCAGATATGGCTTCCCCTGCTCTCCCTTGTGTAGTGATGCATTTGCATTCCCTCTTACATCAGCTCCTGAGAGCACAGACGGTGTCTGTTGAGCTGACTGCCGCAGCCTCACCTCCTGGCACGGCCTGCACACGTGTCTGAGGAACGGATGGTTCCAGGGGCCAGGTCTGGCTGTGCTCTGGGCTGCGGCTCCGGTCCTGGACCAGGCCCACGGGATCTCGCCTTATCCAATCTGCCACCTCGTAGCAGCCGAGCCTGACCCTGAGCGAGCGGCTCACTTGTGCGAGTCCCTGTGTACTGGGAGGCCAGGGGAGGCTTCCCTGAGGCAGTGATGTTTCCGCCAGGGCTTGAAGCTGTGCAGGACTTGGCCAGGCAGGAGGGGTGTGGGGAGTGGATTTCCAGGGCAGGCAGAAAGCCACACAGAGCCCAGGAGACGGGTTCAGACACTCTGCTGGGCATCAGTGTTTCTGAAAGGATTCCATGAGTCACCAAGTAAGACCCTGTGCGCACAGGGCCTGGCAGAGAGCAGAGCCACCCTCCCTCCCTCCCGAGGTAGTGGCCCAAGTCTGGCAAGGTGGAGCAGTGGTGGAAGACCCCACAGCCAGGAGGAGGAGAAGGCAGGGGCCGCTCCACGGCCGTCTCACCGCATACCTGTGATGAGGCCTTTGCCATTCTCGTTCACCGCTATGCCGGCAGCCCGGCCCTTGAAAATGTGGTTCCCACTACAACGGAAAGAGAGCAAGGCAAAGAGGTGACGCCAGGACCCCAACACCAATGCAGCGCCCTCCTTCTGTGGACTTCCTGAGATGGCACAGAATCTTCCCGGAAGCCCTACGAGGCAGACACGGAGCCAAGTTGGCCCCACAGCCGTGCCGTGTCAGCACAATGCTACCCGGCTCTGTGGCCTGACTGCCAGCCACCACCTGAAGCAGACGTGATGGCGCCACAGAACCCATGGGCAAGACACCAGGCCTTGGTGGGGGACACAATTCCTAGGAGGCTGTGCTGGGCTTGCTGAGGAGTGATCTGTGTCCAACACCCTGAGAGAGACACTCTGCCTCTAAGGGGCCCCCATCTTCAGTAGGAACTAACCTCTACTCTTGACCAATGATCTGTAAGCAGGACCCCTTTCCTCCCTGCCTCCCCTCAATTGCACGGCATAGATTCTGACTCATAACGCCCCGTAGAGGGCTGCCCCTTTGGTGTGGAGGCTGTCCATTGTTACAGGAGCAGAAACCTCCTTTCTCTTGGGCCGCTGGTAGTGGGCACGCAGACCTGTGACTCTCCAGCCTCTGCCCCGGGGCTCCCTGACCTTCCCTGGTAACGAATAGGCTTTGGAACAGCACATTTGCCTTCCCTTGTCTTTTTCGCTAAGTCCCTGAGTGATGGACTTGTTTCCATTTTGTTGTATGTCTGTCTTCTGGATGAGAGCAAGCCCCGAGGGATGGGGCCTGCCCATACTGACCGCTGTTGTCCTTCGCTGTGAGTGCCTGTGGTGTCTACTGATCAAGACACCTGCATACAGTCAGTCAGAAGAGAGCCGCTGGGTTATTGTGGGGTTTGTGGGGGAGCTCTCTTCTCTGCTTGTGTCTGGAGCATGGCTTGAGTCAAACACGTATGCTTTCAAATACAAACCAGACAGGAAGGAGGGAGACAGGGGCAAGCGAGTAAAGGAGGGGTGTGGCAGGTGTGATGAGCGGGTCCCCAGGGGCATACCTCACAACTGGGTTCCCGTGGTACAGGATATAGATGCCAGCCTCCTTGTTAGAGAAGATCTGATTGTTCCGGATGACGCCTTTCCCATTGCCAAGGACGACGATGCCAGAGCGCAGGCCGTGGTGGATCTGGTTACACTGCAAGGGAAGATGGGACAGGGTGAGGAAGGGCCAGCGAGCCAGCGGGAAGTGGCGTGCCCAGCCGCCCGCTGCCCACACAGCCAGGCCAGGATGAACACACCCACGGAGGACCCTCAACGCGTGCCCAAGCGGCTGGGCCAGGCTGCTGCCCCGTCCCTCCTGCATAGACCACACACCGAAACCCGTGGAGACCAGGAATACCGGAGTCCTCACAGCCGCCAAGGCCGAAATTAGACTGGCACTCACTGCCAGGGGCTCCAAACCCAACCACACCCACTGCCACCTGTCCAACTCACAGTTAGTCCACAGGGTGGCACAGAGCTGCCCCCTGGGGTTTCAAGACAGTGAGTGCCAGGGTAGCAGACTGCCCCATCTCTCTCCCATGAAGCAGCTGGGGGACTCACACTGCCAGCTGTTTATTCAGTGGTCAGGCCCTGAACCACTGCACCCCAGAATTCCTTCCTAGGTGGGGAACAGCCTGATACAAAGGAATGTTCACCAGGTATCGCCCAGGACATCACGTTCAGAGAAAGGTGAAGGCCGTTTCGTGTCTTGTCTTCCCGTCTCCTTCAGGGCAGCTGCCTCTGGGAGCTCGCTTTCCCACGGGCCCATGGTCATAGAAGGATCATTAGGGTCCACGCGTCTAATACCTTTGTACAATCCGGGAGCCAGGGCCGGTGTCACACAGGAAGTCTGGCGATTGGAAGCCAAGGTTTTCTGCCAGCCTTCCAGTGCACTGGCTTTTGCACAGGGACTTAAGTTTTTCTGATCACAATGAGCAATCATTTTCCCGCTGTTAATGTATAGCCTAAATCCAACCCCTGCTTGCTCTTTTCCAAAACGATTCCCCAGAAACAAAGGCCACCGAGACCACAGCAGGAGTCACGTGCCAACAAGAAGCAAGGTAAATTCAGGATGGCAGCATTTGCTTGGATAGCGCCAAAACCCCAGGGCCCTCCTGAGAAGGGGATGGACCGAAGGCAGAGAGAAGTACCAGGATGAGCGGGTTGGATTTTTTCCGTATGTCCACGCCAGCCTCCGCATTGTGGTAAATGTTGTTGCCAGCGATCAAGCCGCCACCCTCCAAGCGAAGAAAGATGCCGGACGCTCTGCAGCGGTAAATGTCATTCCTCAGCATGACGATCTGCATGAGACGGGATCAGAGGCGGCAATGAGCGAAGCAACAAACAAGGAGACCACCCACGACTTGCCTTCAAGTCCTTCCGACTCAGAGCGACCCCGTGGGGCAGGTAGAACTGCTCCCTCCCTGCGAGGGGTTCCTGAGCTTCTAAATCTTCAAAGCAGAATGCCTCCTTTTTCCACAAGGGAGCCGGAGCTGATGGCTTCAAACCAGGGACTTCAGCAGCCACAGCGCTTCAGCTACTGCATTACCAGGGCCCCTCGGTGAAACCGGAAGACGGTACACAACTGGCCTGTACACCTTGAGTGACTGGGCAAGACTGAGGCACTGAAGCAGAGTAAAAGATGCTAAGGAGACTGGGATGTACGGAAGGCACCATTAGGATAACTGGCCACTGTGTCTGGGGCTTGTGGACTAGAGAGTTCCATCAGGTTGATGTCTTGATTTTGTGGTCTCTATGGTGGCCATTTAGGAGCCCTGGTGGAGGAGGGGTTAAAAGCACCAGGCGGCTGACCAGAAGGCCAGTAGCTGGAATCTAGTAGCTGCTACGTGGGAGAAAGAGACAGACAGCAGCCTGCTTCCAACCAATTGACAGCCTTGGGAGATGGGAGTGTGAAGGCTCTGGGCCCTACAGGTGGTCACTCCAGGACAAAGTGAGCCATGACCCAATGGTGGTGGGTGGTCTGGTTCTTGTGGTTATTTAAATGGTACCCTTTGTTTTTCAGAGAATATCTTTAAGTATTAAAATTAGAATGGTCTCTATCAAATACTTCAGGAAAACAACAACACAGAAATGTATCGATAGAGTACAGCAAATGTTGATCCACTGAGGAATCTGAGTGGAAGAGACATGGGAATTCTTCCTTGTAATCTGATCATTTTTTCTGTAGCTCTGAAGCTATTGCAAATAGCAAGTTAAAAAAATGCAACTGATGTAGGAATTCTCTGAAGTTGCTGCCCAAATTTTCTGGCTCTAAAATAATTTAAGTCCACTGAGAAGAAATTTTCTTTTCAACTGGGTATAGCCACAGCATACTTGGCAGGATGAATATAGTAACAGAGACAGACAATCCTACGTGTTGGTGAAGAAATTTGAACCTTCACACATTGCTGGTGGGAATGCAAAATAGCGCATCCACTCTGGAAAACATTTTGGCAATCTTCAAAAAGCCAAAAATAGCGTGGCCACGTGATGGCACTTTCACTCGTAGGGACATACCCAGAGGATGAAAACACGTCTGTCCACACAAGAACTGAAACACAGACGGTCCCAGCAGCACGATTCACAAAGGATGAAAAGTGGAACATTATGGAGTGGATGAATGCATGACTAGCATAGGGTCTACTCATACCCTGGAATACTACGCAGCGTAACAAGGAATGGACAACAGCATGGATGGCCTTAGAAACACTATGCTAAGAAGTCAGATACTAAAGACCACATACAATATCCAAAATAGGCAAATCCAGACAGAGAGAAAGTAAACTCGTGGGTCCCAGGGGCTGGGCAGGGGAATGGGTAGTGACAGCTAACATCCATAAGGGCATATAGGCTTCTTTTTGGAGTGATGAGAATATTCTGGAATTAGAGAGTGGGGATGGTTGTGAATATAGCAAGAGCCGCTAAATTGTACCCTGTGCAAGGGTGAATTTTGATGATATCTAAATAGCTATGGTATCTCGGCAAGGAGCCTTGGTGGTAGGTATAGTGGGCTACACATTGAGCTCTGCTAACTGCAAGGTTAGTGGTTCAAACCCATCAGGTGCTCTGCAGGAGGAAAGAAGAGGCTGTTTACTCCCACACAATCCTATAATCCCAGAAACCCAGCGGGACAGTTCTACTCTGTCCTGTTGGGTCTCTCTGCGTCAGAACTGACTCCATGGCAGTGGGCTCCAGCTCCAAGGCATTCCTTTACAAGAATATCCACACCAGCTTTACTTTCAGATGTGACTTACTTAAAATATACCAGACATTCTATCGTCCACAACTATTTAAACAAGATTAAAAAAAAGCTTGAGTATCAACTTAAAAATGAGTGACAGATGGCACACCTCCTTCTAATACGTTTTCAACTACTGACTGGCGTGGTAGATAAACTACATGCCCGTCACACTACTGTGTTTAGAAAAATGACTGATACCCAAGGGCTCAAGTAGAAAGAAAATGTTTTGAAAACAATGACAACTAAGTACAAATGTGTTTTCCGCAATGGATGGACGATGGGTTGTGCTAAGAGCTGTCCGAGCCCCCCATCAAACGGCTTAAATAAATAAGTACAAAGAGAAACGAGTGCCGGGGAGAGCCGTTTTAAAGGCTGGAGGATGAAAAGCCTGGTGCTCTACAGCAGACTGCAACTCATAGCGACCCCACAGGGCAGAGCAGAGCTGCCCGGGGGTCCCACGGCGCCAGCCCCCGACAAGCAGGAAGCCCCTCCGTGAGATGGACTGACACTGTGGAGCAACCATGGGCTCAACCACGGGAACTGGACAGTGTGTCCTCAGGTTATGAGCTGGAGCACCGAATGACAACCATCTTTATGGAAGCAGGCTGCCACATGGTCCTCCCACAGAGGGGGCTGGTAGGTTTGAAAGGCTGGCCTTTTGATAGCAGCTAAGTGCTTAACAACTGCACCACCAAGGGTGTGTGTAATATGCAGACACAATGACTTGAAGAACCAAGGATGCTGGGGACCAGAGAGGGGGTGTGACTTGTTCGAGGTCATGCAGCCATCACTAAGAGACCCCGGGCTCTGCTCCCGACACCACACTTTTTCACTGCAGTGTCCCTGGTCCCTAGCAGTATACTAGTCACGGTAGATTCTTCATACACATCGTTGTAACCAGTGGGTGAAAACAAGAATCTACCGATTGTCAAAGAAGTATATAATAAGCTCCAACTCATGGCTTCTAATTAACTAACCACATAAGCATCTTATAATTATATTGCAAAATCAATTGTCTGCTTTTAAAAATAAAATTACAAATGTTTCAGAACCCCATAACCTGTTAAGTAAGCTATTTTATGGGTTCTCTTATAAATGGAAGATCTGACATCATCAGTAAGACAGTTTTCTTTAGCGCGTTTGCATGGTAAGGATCGAGCATGTGGTTTGAGAAGGTCTGTCTGGCACCAGGCGGGCTGGCAGTTTGGAGAGCCACTGGCTCTGAAAAGCAGTCGAGGGAACAAGTGACGGAGAGGGCGACGGGACTGCGTGGGGAAGAAGAACGGAACGTGAGGGAAATCCCCGAGGCCAGGGCATCAGAGGACTTGCCGTGTGGGCACTTTAGATGGTGAGGGTGCATTAGGACTTTCCTCGTTCTCTCGTCTGTTCAAGGAAAGAACAGCGAGGAGTTAAGAGACCTGGGTTCAGGTCTGACCTGTGGACGCTGCTGTGTGACCCAGTGAGGGCGCATGGCCCCATGACATCACCTTGCTGTTGTGTATACACCGCACTGCATATGTCAGGTTCCGGAAGATGTTTCCTTCCATCTTGGCCCGACCATAGGAGCAGACGAAGACACCCCCCTTCCCGTCCCGGAAGAGGCACTTGCGGATGAGGCAGCCCTGCACGGAGCTGGCTAGGGCCATAGCCTCCTTGTCCTTCTGCAGCTCTTGCTGCAGGGAGTTCAGCACTAAGCAGCTGGGCAGCTGGATGGAGGCTCCCGGCAGCGGCGGACTCAGAAAAGAGCCCCCCAGTACGGGGCGAGGGCCCTGCACTTGGTAGGACAGTCGGTATGTGAGCTGGTCCTCATCCTCATCCTCGCCGCTGGGACTCAGACCACCGTCGCTGCTGTCAGGGGTCTGGGCCACCCCTTCCCCATCACTGCCCACCTCTGCCTCCTGGGAACCAGGCTTGGAGTCCGGCTTCGGGGAGCTAGATGCTGGGCTGGTGGGGCTCTGGCTACCCTCAATGACAATGTCACAGGTCCTTGGGCTCCAGGCCTGGTCCCTGCTCTCTAGGTCCAAGGGCAGTAAGGAGTCAGAGTCCCCCGTGGGGAGGAAGCTGGGAGAAGCCTTGATCAGTCCCAACAGATACTTGTAGGCCCAGTTCTTATCTGCAGACGGGTGGCCCTCCACAGTCACGGAATTGTTTTCGCTGCCCACAAACTCGCAGTTTTCCAGGATACACAGGGGCACGTTATGCAGGAAGACGTGGGTGTTCTTGAAGACACAGAACTTCACCTGGCATGTGCCTGGGCCATGGACCTGGATGTGCCCATTCTCAAAGTTGCAGTTGTCAAACTGGACATGACCGGATGTTGTCTGGGGAGTGAGAACAGAGAACATGAATAGAACAGCAGGGGGGAGGCTTGCTCTGCTGGTCAGCACGCCAGGGAGCTCTTAAGGAGGGTGGATCATGGGGAGGTCATTTGGTTGGATGATCATTTTGGTGACTGAAGCAAGCACAGGCATGGGGTGGAACAGAGGCCCCCTCCCCCAGGAGAGCATGTCAGCTGGGGACCTGCTCTGCACCAGAGAGGGAAAACCATTTGGAGCTGCCATCCTTCCCAGCTCGCTGAAGAAACGTCATTTCCAACATTCTCCACAATCACTGAAAACTGCTGTAAAATCACCCAAGGCCCTGTGCCCTTCCCAAAGACGTGCTAGCGTAGAAGACAGTCACAGGCCGAGCCCTAATATAGATTACGCACAAAGCCAGATGATGCGCTACAAAGAAGGGTAAGGCCAGGCTCCATCCCTTGAGGATCTACAGTCACACGCTTGGTAGGGACTGACATGAACACATTACTCTAACGATGAATATAGTATGCAAGATAGGGAGTCTGGCCCTTGCTCTTTCTAGACCCCACGTCTCTTTCTGAATCTGCAGTCTAACCCAAGAAAAGCTCCCCACTCCTCCAAGACACACTAGTGCTAAATAAGCAAGCTACTGAGTTTTTAGGAAAGCCAGCATGATGCATTTGAAAAGTGCTTAGTGCTTTGAGTCCTAGCATCACTAATTACCCACTTGAGAGAGCTGTTTAGCATCTCTAAGCTTCAAAGCTCCTGTCTGAAGGAGGGAACACTGACCCCATCTACCAGAAAGGATGGTCCCAGGAGACCACAGATGGAGTCTCCCGGGTCATGGGTACAGGCTTGGAATCCTAGCTCTGTCCTTTACCTGTTCTGAGACATGGGGACACCACTTAATCTTGTTGAGCCTCACTTCCCGCATTGATAAACTCAGAGCAGGTCACAGAACTATGGGGAAGAATCAATGAGGCGAGGGCTGTACCCAGAAATGTCCATCATAATGACGGGGAGGACAATGGCTATTACTGACATGAGACAAGTGCGATGTGACTTGTAGTCATAAGTGGCAATATCGTTTTATCAACTAGGCTCATAATCGGGAGAAAGAGGAGGCTTTGCACTCCCGTAAAGAGTTGCGGTCTTGGAAACCTGCAGGGCCAGTTCGACCCTGTCCCATGGGTCACTAGGAGTCAGAACTGACTCGACGGCCGGAGTCTGGTTTCTGGAGGCACATCATCTGGGCTTTCTAGTCAAGTTCTGGGCCAGGTGCATACAGCTGTAGACTGTCCTATCAGGAACTTCAGCTCTATCTCCCAGGAGGGTGGGGTGTTGAACTAAACTTTCTTGATCCTATCTCCAGCTTCCCTGGAGAAGGGACTAATCCTGTAGAAGTCTGACCCTGCACAGGGCAGTGCCATATGCGGAAGCTCACGCTCTCCTCTCCTTGGCGCGCTCTGGGCACACCTGTCGGGAACAGCTCACATGCTCGCTGCTACCTCAAAACACGCCTTTCCCACCTAGCAGCCCCACCTGGGGCCGGTGGCCCAGTGTAGAAGAGACGTGCCAACCAAGTCTGGCGTGGAGTCAGAGCCTCACTTTTTAACCCGGCTCTGCCAGGAACAAGGAAGAACTGTTAATGTCTACAGATGTCGGTGTCTGTTTCCAGTCAATTCCCAACTCAGAGCGGTGTGCCCAAGGTAATATAATTAATTGCCCAACCTTTCGTTCAAACAACCAAGGGGCTGCCAACCCGCTGCGAGGAGGCCCCGGCCTGGAGAGAGCCTGGGTGATGCGGACACCCACCTTATACATGATGGGGGAGAACCAGGCCGGCATGAAGACCAGGTTGCACAGGCGCGTGGTGGAGCAGTGCTGGTCGATGCTGGCCAGCAGGGCCACCTCACCCAGCTTCCCGTGGCCCACAATCTCCACGGGCACCTTCAGGATGATCTCCCCTTGCTCCTCGTACACACCTGGGAACAGCACAATCCGGTCATACAGATTGGCCATGGCCAGAGCACTGCCCAGGCTGTCCAGCTCACGGCCCGGCCCAACCCTCAGGGTCCGCCGCTCCCTTCTCCGGCAAAACAGAGAAAAGCACGCCGAGGACTCGGCGTCCAGGGCGTTCTTGGTCCAGGTCTTGGAGGCCAGGTAGTGCTGCTTGAAGGCTTCCCGCCATGACTCCGGCTCCACATCCGGCTGGTTGGGCCAGTTGGGGTGGCGGCACTCGGTGCAGCCCAGGCACAGCTGCCGCCAGCGCGTGCTGTCCAGGCTGAGGATCAGCTCGTACCAGGCCCTGCACACCAGGCTGCAGCGGCCCAGGTCAGGCAGGTGCAGGTAGGCTAGGATCATGCGCCACAGCTCCAGGGGGAGCCCGCCAGCCTCCATGGCCACCTGGGAGACAGACACAAGACAGGAGGGTTTTGTTTATCTGCTCACCGTACTTGCCCCCTTCCGGAAACACCCTGTCGCCCTCAACTCCTGAGTTCCAGGATGAGTAAGGGAACAAGGCCCAGCCAATCAGAACCCCTCTCTGGGATTTTTCCACCTGCGATTGGCAGGGAAAACTCCCTTTTCTCTTTGGTCTGAAACTCGGGGCTGGTGGGAGCCAGGGTCCCCACCTGGTATAGAAGTCCTTGCGCTATCTGAACGAAGCAGGAATGAGCAGAGATGGTGACAAAGAGAAGGAAAATCAGGGAGCGCACGTGCATGTATCCTGTGTGTGTGGGGGTGTCTTTATCGGGGACCCCTGAAGAGGCCTGGGGAGCTGTGGCTCTCGCTTTGATTCTGTGAGCTGGGTGGTCTGCCCACCAATTCCGTCGGCTCTCGCTGGCTCTGTTTGGATTTGCTAACTTAGGCTCCTCTCTGGACTACACAGTAGAGAGAAGGTGGGGCTCCTGACACCTGCACCCTCCCAGGTTTCGGTGACACTGGTGTCCCCGCTCCCTGCCTGCTTCTTTCGTTACCCTGGCTCAAGCTTTTCAAGAGGAAATGATATGTTCTATTTGCTCCCCTCCTATTCTGTAGCTGAGTGAGCGCGTCCACTCCGCTGGCCCCCACCACAAGGGACCGGATCGGGATCTCCGGCTCCTGCTGTATCCAGTTCCACACAGGAGCAGCCAACTGCCTGATGGGCATTTCCACCTGGATCTTCACAGACAGCAAGACCTCAATGTCACACCCCAAACTGAACACGACTTCCACTTCAGGCTAAGGCAGAGTAACTGGAACTGGATTATGGCCCCCCAGAACTGGACTAAACAGGAGTGGGAGGGGGCTTCAAAAAGTTGCTGAGGAAATTCCATCATCTTTGAATTGTCCACACACTTTTGGACACGCCCTTGTCTCCGAGGCAGCTGCTTTCAGGCACTGTGTGCAGGACTGGGTCTGGGCTGTGAGGGAAAGGAAGCTGTGGCGGGGAGCCCACTGTGCCCAGCTTTCATCTGGGTGTGGGGAGGCGGAACCAGGCAGAGCAGGAGTCTCTGCGCTGCTGAGGAGGCTAGAGTCTGAGGCGGGACATCAGAATAGAGGGAGACACCCACAGGGGGGTGGTGGGTGGACAGTTTTTTGGCCGAGAGCTGGGTGTCCCTGGCGTTCCAGCCCAGACAGTAAACATGAAGAGCTTCTGCCATAAGAGGCAGAAAAGTAAGCCTGACAGGATCAAAAGGTTTTGTGGTAATACATCGACTTGCCAGACTAAAACTCAACCTTGAAACACACACCCACGCCTTCATCCAGACTTCCTCAACAGCACACAGTGCTCGGCCCTGGATCAAGCAGTTAGGCATCCGAAGAAGCAGAAAATCAGGGGGCTGAGGCGAGGGGAGACCTACATGGAGGGTAGCGCTGTTTCTGTTTGGGGAAATGCTGAAAACACTCGGGAACTGGGCAGTCAGTGGTGATGGATGCAAAACATAGTGAATATAATCAATGTCCCTGAATGTGCATTTAAGGAGCCGTTACGATGGCAAATTCTGTCTTTTAACAAAGACATCAAGAAAATAAAAACACCCAGACTCACCACCATTGAGCCCAGGCTGACTCACAGAAACCCTCCGAGACAGGACCGAATGCTCCCAGGGTGCTGAGACAGAAACAGAAGACCCAAGAGCAGCTAGCGGGTGGTTTCAAGCTGCTAGTCCGGAGCGTGTACACTGGTACAGGAAAGAGCTCTGGACACAGGGAATCCAGGAGGAGAAACACCCCAGGGATAGCGATGCGAGTAGCGAGACCGTGAGGGGAGGGGAAGGTGGAGGAGAAAGGGAACTGATCGCAAGAATCAACGTATAACACCTTCCCCCCGGGGGCAAACAACAGAAACATGGGTGAAGGGAGACAGTGGGCAGTGTAAGATATGAAAGTAATAATAACTTACAATTTATCAGGGGTCCATGAGGGTGGGAGGGTGGGGGAGGGAGGGAAAAAAGAGGAGCTGATACCCAAGGTCTTGAGCAGAAAGAAAATATTTTGAAAGTGATGATGGCGACATATGAACAAATGTGCTGATACAATTGATGTATGGATTGTTTTGTTATAAAAGCTATAGGAGCCTCTAAGAAAGTGATTTCTTTATAATAAAAGAAAGGAGTGATAGGATGGGAAAAAATATTTGCAATACGTGCACTAAACAAACGGCTTATAGTCACAATATATTAAGAAATCCTACAAGTCAATAATAAAAATGGACAAATATTTAAACAGAAACTTCACCAAAAAAGAAAACTGAATAGCTTATTATCATGAGTATTCAGTATTATTCAATTTGTAATAAAACCATAATGAGATGCGAAACTATACCCACAAAAATGAAAACCGTGAACAGCACCCATTCGATGGCACTAACAAGGGACTGGTCAGTTCTGCCTCCCCTCTACGCTTAAAATGCACCATCCCAGAACCAGAAAGGGGGGCCCACGCTACCATCAAGAAAGGCAAGCAGGACCAGTGGAGAGGTCTGAGGGGCCGGCCCCAATCCCAACTACGTGGACACCTGCCCCTCCCCCCAGAAGAATTTATTTCAGAGGACAGCACTGGATCTGCAGCTCCGGGAGAAGGACATATCTGATTGGAGCATATGGGAGCAGATGAAGGGGGAGGAGGAGAGAGTGGGGCACATCCTGGCCCACCAGGCCTTGAGGACGATGATCCCAATTAGAGCAGCCAGTCCACAGAGAGGACCACATGGCCAGCCCCACTATGAGACATGATGCCCCTCACTGACCCATGGCCTTGCGGGGGACAA